TAGCTGACTGTGTATGGTGTTTATGTTTTTTCCGGAAGCGTGCTGAACCAGATTATCCTTAACTGGAAAAATGTAATACCCAGAGATGATCCTTCAGGGGTGCCGTTTTCTTTGGTTTTTACATCATATAGTACGCCATTAACTTATTTTATACATATCATCTGCTTGATATTATTTTTCAATTTTATTCATCTATTCATTTGAGTTGAATTTTTATTTTTGATTTCTCATTTTATTTATTCAGAATTCAGATTCATTTACTCAAGTAGAATGAAACTCTTTATTATTTTAATTCATTTATTTTATGTTATATACTTCATCTTACAGAATTTATATGCATGATATTATTTATCGATTTTATTAATTTATCAAGTGAAATTGAGTTTTTGATATTTTATTTTAGTTATTTATTGGATTGTTTTATTGTGAATTAGGCCTATTGCGGACCCCCAACAAAAAAACGCGCCTTTCACTCTTCCGCAAGGTGCATGGTGCATGGTGATGAAAAGAGTTAAAGTTTAATTCATGCCCAAAGAGAATATCACAAAGTTGAAAATTTATTTATACATGCGGTGGGGGTTGATTTTCTACCGCAGAATATTCCGACTCATCGGTTATGTTCAGTACGCTAAAATAACGCATTCATAGAAAGATCCATCCACGAAAGATTTGAAAGAATTATGGACAATCTTTTGAAAATTAGTTTATACGGGAAGAGGGATAATTTTTTGCCAGACAAAATATTTCTACATATATCCTCATCCACGAAAAATTTGAAGGAATTATGGAATATTCTTTGAAAATAAAATCGGATTTTACATGGGGGTGTGGGGGTTGATTTTCTGTCCGACAAAATATTTCGACATATGGGTGTTGTTCTGTATGCTAAAATGAATATATTAAAGAAAAAAATCCCAATTCAAATAATATTTGAAAGTGTTATGGATTTTTCTTTGAAAATTATTTTACACTGGGTGGGGGTTGATTTTCTGCCCGACAGAATATTTCAACATATAGGTCTTTTTCTGTATTCTTAAATGGATATATTCAAAGAAAAAATTCCCCATCCACGAAATATTTGAATAAGTTTTAGATTTTTCTTTGAAAATTAGAATTTACAGGGTGGAGGATGATTTTCTGCTCTACAAAATATCTCAACATATGGGTCTTGTTCTGTATGCTAAAATGAATACATTCAAAAAAAAATCCTCATCCACGAAATAATTCGGTAAATTACGGATATTCTCTGAAAATGTGTATATTCGGTTCGGGGGTTAACTTTCTCTTGACAAATTCTAATGGATATTATCAACACTTTTTAAGATGACGGAGTTATTGTAATAATTGCTTGCAATCGCGTAAATTTCAGGTCGTTGAATAAATTCATGAGTGGCCACGAATTGATCCCAATTTTGAGAGCCGCTGATTGTCGGATTTTGCGCGTCGCTTCGACAAATCCATGGCTAGAACTCGTGACTGCTTTCACACTGATATACTGGATGATTTCTAACTAGGGTACGAAACTTCAGATGGTGATTCCTTAGGTCGTATTGAGAAAAAAGTTCTTATATGTCCGGAGTTGCTTCGTTTCTGAGATACAGGGCGTTGAAGTTTAAGAAAAAAACGGTATTTATAAAACATCATGAATATCCTTAAACCGGTTTGGTTGAAATTTATAACAGTTATTTGAAGTAATGAGGCGCTTATTTAGCCCTAACTAGATTGAAATTATTAGGTCCAGTGGACTCTCAGTGAGCACTACAGCCAACAATATTGGGAAAAAATGTACCTCCACTGACTTGTACTTTTTAATTTTTTTAGATTAATCAACTAAAAAAACAACTTTTTCGTCACTTTTCTTTCATCTATCTTCCTTTTCGAGAAAAAAATTTGAAGCCACTTTGCATATCATGAACACATGCTTTGGAGACCAGCTGACAGTGATAGTGTTGTCATATCAGTGAAAGTCAAGAGTTGTCAATTAGCAGTGATTGCATCATGAATAATTTTACTAACGCTAAAATGACAGACATGCACTTCATTTATGGATTAGCAAATGGAAATGCGGAAGAAGCACGGAGAATTTACCAGAACAGATATCTTAACAGAGTAATTTCATGTGCTAAATTCAGAACGCTACATGCAAGATTATGTGAAACTGGGAGTTTTAATATAAATGCAGGTGGTGGAAGACCAGAAACTGTAACAACGCCTGAAGTAGAAGAAGCTATACTTAATGAGATAGAAGATCAAATAGTACCAGGAAGTCATTCCAAAAACCGTATGGACAGTTCTAAAAATAAACCTATACTCATATCACATACAGTGGGTTCAAGCTCTACTGCCTCGGGAGTTTCACCCAAGATTATTGTTTTGCAGGTGGTTGATTCATGCGATGGCACAAAATAATTTTTTACCAAATATTTCATTTACGGACGAAGCAAATTTTTCACAAGATGCTATTATGAACTTTCACAATGACCATTTTTGGGCAGACGAAAATCCCCCCATTATTAGAGAAATTCATTTTCAGCCACAATTCACGCTGAACGTTTGGGTACGAATGATTGGTCACTACCTAATTGGCCCATTTTTTCTACCAGCAAGTTTAACAGGTGAATCCTTCACGAACTTTTTGCGAAATTATTTACCAATTTTGAAAGAAGAAGTGCTGGAAAATATACAAGATCTGTTGGAAATATATCTATCAGAATACCTAAATTCAGAAAGAGTCATACTTAATATAACAAAAATGGCGAATTACAAACAAAATATTAAAAGTTGTATTCTCGAAAACAATACACTGAATTATATTTTCAACTGATGCACATTCCTGTATTACTTATTCCTTATTTTTTCTTTTTTGGGAAAGAAAGTTTTTGGTTTTCTACTACTCCATCTGATACAAAAAAAATGGATTTTTTCTTATTTTCTCTTTTACATAATCCTAACCGACCCAACTGATATAAAATAACTCTTACGATAAATTTCGAATTCATCTACTCTATTCAAAACTCTCACTGTATAAAAAGGAAATTAAAGTATCCAAAAGGTAGAATGGAACATTACGACAAAAGCATTCATTGTTTAGGTATGTTCTAAACTTCCTTTGTGTTTATGGTAGATATTGTACCAAAAATAAAAAATGAAGGACTATCAATTTGTAAAAAAAAACTTGTAAGAGGCAACATGTGGTTTATGTACGATGGGGCTCCAGCTCATTTCAGTCAGCATCTCGACATCACCTACCTTTATCACTGGATTAGACGTACAGGACCTTAAAATTGGCCAGCTTGCAGTCTTCTATTTTTCTATTTATGGGGCATCTGAAGGTTCCTGACAATTGCAATGTCATAAGGAATACTCCAGGTATTTTTCAACGTGTCAGACAATCAATGACCAATCGATTGCAGTCGTGTATTTTATCAGAAGGTGGACATTTTGCTCATTTACTTTAAGGTCGAAATTGTTCATTATTTACTTTTGATTTTTATTTTATGTTGTCCATGGGTAGTTTTTTGAAGTGAATTTTATAAACTTGATAAGCGCCTCATTACTTCAAATAACTGTAGCAAATTTCAACCAAATCGGAGTAAGGATACTTATGACATTTTATGAATATCGTTTTTTTAACTTCAAAGAAACGAAACAGTTCCGGACATATATGTTCACATGAACTTTTTTTCTTGAAACGACCTATATATTACAATTTTTTGTTTGTAATACAGACTATTTTTAGATTTGGAATTAAAAGATCATAAAATGTGTATAAATAGGAATTGAACCCACACACCTTGCTCTGGCACTAACATACCATAACATGTACCATGCACCATAAAATCAAACAATAATTGAATACCAAATAACGAAGAGTGTTTACCAGATTGTGAAAATGGCATCAATATCTTTTAACTTCAGTGTAAATATTTCCCTGTCAAATTTGATATTTCAGAATTGACTGAAGGGGTTATATCAGTGTATAAAAATAATAGAAATGAATTTGCATATAATTTGAAATTTATGAAAATCCTCCATTTCTAGTAACTCCCATTATGATTTTACATTATTTTTTTTATAATTTGGTAGATTTTTGGGTGTTGTATCTATCTGTTTGGTTGAGTCAAAATTGATTTCATGTCATTCCTGAAATAGATCAAATGATCCTGGTTTTTCAAAGAATTTTTGTGTTCCTGAACTTCTGGCATATAATCTTCTATTGGTCTGGCAATCGTTGATCACAGTCATCACTTGCAATACTATAGACCTCTTGTTTTGAGAAAGATTTTGTTTTTTTGTCTAAGTAGTAGCAGTGGCAATATCGTGATATGAAAAGCAGTGTTACAATATTTCTGTGTTGTGGTGGGTCTTGAGTCATTCTGTTAGAACTTGTTATTTTTATGGAATTTCTTTGTAAAGATCCCAAACCATTTAAAGCCATTGACGAATAATATATATAAACATTTATTCTACGTTTTTGAATATTTGGGCAGGTTTTTTTATATTTTTTTTAGAGTCAGCGAATTCTCAAAATTTTTTTAATGTATCTTGTTGAGATTTTTTTTTTATTTCGTCCATAAATTGATTTTGACATTTACCAAAGAAATCTCTATTCGATTTCTCTGGGAATCTGATTATATATCTTTTTACTCCTCTCTAATTTGACCGCTACACTTCTCAATGATACCTATTTCTCTACTGCTACTGAAACTGAAAAATTTTGTTGGAAGGTGCCTGACATTGCTATTACGTATTCCATACAATTTATTTTAAACTTCAGAATGTTACAAATAAAGTACCCATTACGTACTTACTTGTTAAAACGTTTTAAACAATTTTTTTGTACTGTACTTTCCATTCGTGCCTTGCCTGAAAGTTTTGTCTCAAATCTGAAGCACATATTCAATGTCATTGGAAATGTTTCATATCGTTGGGTCAGAAAATGTTATATTTTGGCCACTGTATGAGCAAGAACTGTAATATTTATTTTCTCTCAATTTCAGGTCTTATGAAATCATGGATGAAGCCGCTGATGTCGACATGCCTTCTGATGAGGTATTATTCAACGAGGCATCCACAGATGATGCAGCCAGTGTCAGAGAATTCACTAAAAACGTAGTGCAGAAATGGAGAGAAAGATTTGAAAAAGGCTTGCTGAGTTCCATTCATTTTGAAGTACTCTGGCGAGTGTGGGTGCCCAAAATCTACAGCCCTTCACCTAATGAGAGTTGTTTGAATTGGAATTTCAATGAGGATTTAGCCCAAGATATCTTACTCAACACATTGGACGAGTTTATTTGTAATGGAGATCCTACTACTGTCCTCAAGCAGCTCAGTGATTTGGATAAAGCGCCATCGGTCAGTTTTTTTTATTTGTTATAATTTTAAGTATATATAACCAGGTTCAAACCATTTTTATCAAACATTATCAAATAAGTTCAATACAACAGGATTTATTTAGTTGTGTAATTATCTACTTTGAACAGTTTGGTAATTCGGTGTCATGAAAATTCCCTAGAGACTCATTGAGTGAGTTTTTTTCAAAATAATGGCTAAATATAAGGGATATGAGAAAATATTTAAAAATGACAACCTCCTTTTGGGGTAGTCTGTCTGTCTTTGGACCCTTTCTTGGATGCAAGAATCCAATTTTCTCCTCATCAACTCCCGAACTCTTTCGAAAACACCAGGATCTAGTACGCTAGACATTTATTTCGGCTACGTTAATAATTTTAAAATTACCAAAATTGTTATTGTCAAAATTCTTTTTCACCTCGTATCTTGAAAACAAAGCGCCCTATCAAAAATCATCAAAAGACTATATATCTTAGTCCAAGGAATAGCTCCTTATTTTTTACCGCATGTTCAATAAACACCCTGTATGTATAGTATTTTATATTAACCTGATGTTCTCTCGAGACAAGTGCCATGCACTTATCGAACTATGTATTTGCTCATTTGCTCAATAATGGACAAAAATTATTCTATATTGGTATTTGTTTTTGAATATTGGACAAATGAAGCAAATTATTGATATTGAATACAAATGAAAGAACATAAACACAAAAATAAGTAACAAATGAAATATACCTGGTCAGAATGTAACATTAAAACTTTGAAAATGCTATTCAAAATTATCAGTGAAAAACTCTTCTAAGCTATAGTACGGTCTAAATGAACGATGAATGTACACCTAAAAGATTGGTAAACTATCTGTCTATCTAAGGTCGCTTATATGGTAGTTCTTTTACAGCTATTTTTGAAATGTTCATTCGAGGAAAGGAAAAGGTAGTTTAATTTTGTTAATACTGCTGGTAAGGTAGTAAGAAGGGGCAGTGTTGAATTCATCTGAATGCTTCCTGATGATGTAAACCGTTTCAATGATAAAAATGTCAATTACAGTTAGATTTTTAGGGATATGGATAAAGCTTTACAAGAATCACGAGGTTTTGCGTTGGACAAGTATCTGACTGTGCCTTTTTGAACTAATAATGTACTCTGTAATAGGGTGTTAGTGCATGTTCCCCAGAATGTTATGATCTTTTTACTATTCCAATATTGTTTTAGATTTTAGTTTTATCATCAGCTAATGCTTTCCAAGCAAACAAGAAAAAAAGGTTTTTTTTTTCCTATAGAGTTAGAATACAGTTCTTTATTTGTCCATTTTACATGCCGTAGTACATTTATGACAAGTCACCAATACAGAAATCCTTGTTCGGAGTTACAAAGATAAAATCATCTACTGAAAAATAATAAAAGTAAAGAGTGAGTTAATTCAAAGCATGAATATAATATCAATAAAATGGTGATTCAATGAGGTCTTTCACAAGTGAAAGACCCTGCGACGTCAATATATTCCTCAACTTTACAAAAACATTGAAGAAACTTTTTAGTAGTAGATTTAAATTTTGCAAGGCTTTATGTCTTCAGAGACGAGTGAAGATGGTTATACAAATGTGAGTTCAGTGCATTTTTCTTACTTATTGTTAGTTTATGTTTGGGAAGGTTCAATAAACTTGCGGATCTCGTTCCTTATGCATAATCGTCACAACGTCTGTCAAATTTATTGACGTTTTCATGAATCTCCAGAAGATACATAATGTTGGAATTATCCTGGTTGTCCTGAAGCATGTCTTTTTTTTCAGGTTTTCCCGGTTATTTCTTCTATGCCTTAATTCATTGATTTTCTTCATTATTTCACTATTCAAATAGCGAGCTACAACTGCCTTCAGCCCGAATCCATCTCTTGTGTAGTTTAAACGCCTTATAAAGTTATTACATTTCAAAAAGTTGATATTGTCCAACTGCAAGAAGTGTAATTTTTTGTGGAAATTAAAATTATTTTCGTATATTCTTTGATTTATGCTGACGTCATATCTGTAAGGCTATGAAATAATAAGCAATTGTGTGTGTTGTGTTTCTTCAACAAGAGTATCAAATAAACTTTCATTTGTTTTATTAAACCAAAGCACTATGACATCGTTTCTGGAGAAGTCTTTTGAGTTCGTGATTTGAAGTGTCAGCTTCTAACGATACTTCAAAATATATGTTTTCTTTATTTTCTAATTTTTCCTTTTCCACTAGGTTATGTTCTGGATTTAGTTGTTTCGTGGTGCTGTACTTTTTCCCTAATAGTTTCGTACTATTGTGGTCTTGCTTCAAAGTGGCATAATCACATTTTAATTTCTTTAGTTCTTCTAAATAAACTTCTGTCTCCTGTGTCATTGTTTCAAAAGATGTCATCTTGTTTTTATTGATAGAGCTGAGATCTGCTAAATCATTTTGATATCTGTTCAAGTCAACTTTTATTACTTCTAATTCTTCCTGTAAGACAGTATTTTTTTGAATGAGATTAATAATATCATTTTTGTGTTCTAAGATGGTACGATTTTGTTCGTTAAGTTTGCTAATGTAATTTTGTTCAGCGCCAGCAACTTCATCTTCAAAGTCCATTGATGTTCTCCTTAGTTTCTGAATAAATACATCTCTTTCTCTATTGACCTTCTTTAGTTTAGTGAAATTGGCCGCAGTGGTAGTGCGCCCGACTCACGATCGGAAGGCCATGGGTTCGATTCCCGCCTCGACCAGATATTTTTCTCGAGGGAATTTATCTGGTTGAAGCTAGGATGATTCTGCAACCGTGTTAGGAATCACACGTTAAAAGGTAAGACCTCGTTAGATTTTAAACAGATTTTAAACAGAACAGTTCCGCTATTTCATCCAATAGTTGCATGACCAGATCATCTCGTTGACTTTATGGTAATTTTAACTGTGATTCCTTTTCTTTTAATGTATTTATCAGCGATTCAACTTTTTCCCTTGCTTTTCGTAGAGCATTGTCATAACTTTTTTTTTGGTCGTACATTCTTGAGAGCAGATTATTTTGTGGCCTTCTACTATCTGCATATATCTTTTTCTCTCCATATAGCTCTGGTGGAAAATGCCTAGACATTGTATACAACATACATTTGTACATTCTTTCTTCTTGCAACATTTAAATGATGAATCCATTTCTCTTTGTGATTGTTAAATTGTCTTACATTTCCTGAACTACGAAATAAATATGACACTCATAACACTTTTTGTTTGTTGATAGGGAAATTGGTTTTTAATCCATTTACCTTTATGTAGAAATGGATTTTTTCTTTTATTTTTCGTAGAGGACTTTCATGAGGTGGAAGCACTTTATAACGATTAATCCAATAACTATCACATCAACTGGTGAATTAATAGCACTGACTTGAAGTATATTTTAAACCGCTTATACACTCTCAAAAAACTACTTTTTTTTATCAATTTTTTACCACTCAATTAGAATAAATATTTGGCGAGAACCTGGTGAGCAGCACATTTCTATTACTGAAAATTACAGGGAGTGGTATAAAGTTGAATAAAAAAGGACGACAGTGCTCTTTGTAACCCGCTTTTGCTATTATTCTTATAGCTTTTTTCTGGCACCTAAAAACATTAATGGAATACCATATAAAATAACTGGGTGAGATAATCCAAAGTAAGCTTTTTTAAATGTAAGAAACCATTATCAACATGGGTGAAAAAAAACGCGGTACCCGAAAAAACCTGGATGGGAATTAGTCAGTCAATTCGAGCGAGCCAGGCGCGAGCATTGTTATTCATTTAGTTGTTTTTATCCGTATCGGAAAAGGGGTGATGGTTTTAATTGATAACTTCAAATGTGAATTGACGTATCTTTGGGTAAAATATATTTTTACGATTATTATATCTCCTTTTCTTATATAAGCGTCAAGCTTTCAATTGGATGAATGCTGGTATTGAACGATACCATTATGTTTTGAGTTTTATTTCCATTCAGAGTCAGCTTATGAGCAGCAAACCAATTATATGTAAATGTTTTGCTATCTTGCATCATTTATTGTAAGCTGGTTAAGTCTTTGCTAGATTATAATAAAGTACTGTATACATCATTGATATACATCAAGAACAATAGTGATCCTAAAACGGAGTCCAGAGGAACGCTATGCTTCATTTCTTTGAGGCCTGACTTTATGTTGTACACTTCCACATATCGGTACCTTTTTGTGAGATAAGACTGGACGACCTTGAGAGCTGTGCCCTGGACACCATAGTAACTCATTTTTTTCTATCAAAATCATTTGCAATACAGTAGTTTTTAAGCTGCTTGGGTAGTAGACCTATTTCTTCGAAAACCATATTATGAACTTTTGAAGTAGAACCGTTTTTCAAAGAATAAAAACTGTTTTCGAAATTATCTCAATAAATTTCCCAATTATAGATATTGTGTTAATTGGGCGGTAATTATCCGGTGAAGAGTTAGATCCTTTTTTAAATAAAGGTATCACTTTAGAAATTTTGAAAAATCTGGAAATATCCTTTTCAAAAAATTCGTTAATTAATAAATTGCGTGGGATTGCGATTGTATCGGCTACCGATTTTATCATCTGTGGGCAATTTTTTCCTAACGTGATTTAGGTCTGATTTTCATTATTCATCACCTTTGCAAATCTTTAAAATTGAGGAGGGGAATTGAAGGAATGTTTTCTGACATGCCATATAAATTTTAAATTTTTTGTATAAGCCACTGATAATTTGACTGCTGAAAAGTGACTGTCAACTCCACAAGAGTTGAAACAATTAGGTGGGAATACCATTAACGCCTAAGGTTCAATGACTGAGTATTTCATGTTTTGTGATGTCAAGGATTCTTAAACAGTCAAGTTATAGTTCTTATAATGTAAATCAATTGATGCCAAACTACTGTCCATGTAGCTAGATCATAAATATTTTGCAATGTGTTCGCAGTATTGCCTTGATTTTTCGCTCTGCAGTCGAACTATTTGAACTGTTGAACTAAAACTCTTCATTATTGTTTAAAAAGTTATCTAATATATAAAAATTGATGTTTGTTGGTTGGTTGGTTGGTTGGTAAGTGATAAACTTATACATCGCTCAACCGATCGTGATGAAACTTGACATGTATAAGCAATTTTTCATAGAGAAGGTTTTTAGGCTATCAATTTTTCTGTAACTCGCCACTAGATGGCGCTGTAGAACAATTTTTTGAAAGCACTGTTCTATATCGTTGCGCACGCCTAAGTTCGTTGATTCCGATTCTGTCAAAACATTGGAACAGCAGCGATACAGCAACATAGTACTAATTAGTACTACAACTACGAAATTCTTCACGGGCAAAGCCGCGGGTAACAACTAGTTGACATATGACACAAGATATCAAAGTACTTATAAGATCTTAAGTTCCGAAATGGTTGATGAAAATTGACTGATTGGTTGATTGAATAACATCAATATGTTGAAGGTTTGGATTACACTTGCGTACAAAATTGATAAGTTTGTAACGGACTTATTTACAATGTTTTTATTGTGTATTAGAATTAATAATTGCATTTTGGTAAGCTACTAACGTTTGCAGAGGATTTGAATACTTTCTCTACAGAATATTCATTTACAGGAGCTATATATCTACAAAATAACTTCAGATTGAACAACAGGTGCACAAACAATGAAATTATTCTCAATGTTCAAAAAAGACATACTATAAATTTTCATCGCTGAAGAGAGTCTCTATATTAATTTATTTTTTTTATCTTGAGACAGCTATGACCATGACATTATACTAGTAATTATTGAAGATTTTTAGGATTTGTCAAATAAACCACACAAGACGTTACATATATTTATTTATTTGCGGCATTGGCTATTTTTATACAAAATAATTAACAAATTCACACACATGTACTGTAAGAATAATCTATAACTATCAGCTAAATATAAGGAAAAAATATAAAACAAAGACAAAAATCAAAAATGAACCAATCAATTACGAAAGAAAGAGACAGAGAAATAGTGTTTTGTTCCATTCTCAAAAAAAAAAAATGCAAAAAAATCACCATGAACATTGATATTAGCAAATCACATTGAAAATATTGACTTTTTTATATTAACATTGTTGGAATGTATAAGGTATATTGATCTTTCTCGTTATCGTCTTTCTTGTGATTTGGAACATTTTTTGTATATCCAGGTATCTATTTTTATATTCCAGATGTTTTAATTTTTTCATAAACATTTGAGATTTTGTATTATTGTTTCCATGAATTTTTTTATAATTCACTCCTAATAATTTGATATTTGTATATTTTGTCCACCCGTTGACAATAAATAAATCCATTTTCACATTTGAAAAATTAAAGCGTCAATTTTCATTTTTTTCAGGTTTGCGGTAGGGTTTTCAAGTTCGGCGAACCCACTTATTCGTGCAGGGAGTGCGGAATGGACAAAACCTGCGTATTGTGTGTAGAATGTTTCAAAAACTCTGAACATCGGCGGCATAAATATAAAATGGGCACCTCTGGCGGAGGAGGTTGTTGTGATTGTGGTGATGTGGAAGCCTGGAAGAAAGAACCTTTCTGCTCAATTCACATTGTTGGAGTTGGCAAAGAACAGCAACGCAGAAGCCTACCAGAAGACATCAAAGAGCGCACTAGAATCGTATTTGAAGCAGTCATTTGGTATGCTTATCGCCTATTGAGTACAGAGCAAGTAGCCGACATTAGGTTGGGAGGAAGTTCTGATAACTTTTTCGATGTTGATACCTATTGCACTATACTATATAATGACGAAGTTCATACGTTTGAACAAGTTATCAGCACGCTGACCAGGGTGCTCAAATGCAATCAGAGGAGTTCAACGGACTATGTGACGAACATAGACCGAGAAGGCAGGGCAATTGTCAAATGCTCTTGCTATCAGCACTGTTTCGAACTGAAGCAGGAAATTGAAAAGTATACTTCAAGACATGGAAACAAACCCCTCAAAGTCTTGGTTAGCCACGCACATGTAATTGCCCATCAGATTTTTGCCATGCGGTTGCTAACATGGTTAGAGAAGTTTTTGGGACAAGGCGAAGGATTTCGCGCCATTTTTGCGGAAGTTGTACTGAAGCCACAGGTTATGGAGCCGTGTATCATCAAAGGCATATTACAACGTGACTCAACTTTGTGGAAGAGTGCTAGGACTCAGTGGCACAGACTTTTAATTTCAGGGATGCTGCTCGAGTATGAGAACAAGAAGGCATTCGCAAAAATCTTCACGAAAAACTATGGGCAAGTAATGAAGGACTTTGGCAAGGATGATCACGATCATACGTTTTCTATAGCTTCACTCTCCGTTCAACTTTTCACTGTTCCCACGCTTGTTCACAATATCATTGCTAATGATGACATTCTTTATATCCTGCTGAATACTTTTATATCTGAGTGTACAAGGAAGTGTAATAAGGCTGGGAAGTTAGAGTTTGAAAGAAGTCCATCAAGTACTTTCAAGAGGGCATTGTACATGCTGTATGATCTGAAATATTTACTGAGTGCTATTCCTGATGAGTGGACAGATGATTTAAGGCGGGCTTTTTTGCATGGTCTTTCCCTGATCCTGACTATTCTTACTATGATGCAGGGTAAGAGCAATTTTCTTTTATGATTTTAACAGACTTGTCATTTGATTATTGTTGTGAAGTTGAACTACAAAATATATATTCAAATATATGAAAATATCGGAAACAGCTAAGACAGTAAAAATATGAAAACTCAAAATCTAAAGAAATCAAATCGTTGATTTCTCCCTTAAATTGTTAACTGTGACCCAGTTAGTTTTAATTTTTGTTGATGACTTCGTAAATATTTTGCAGAAAATTTTTTTCTGTAGTTTCGACCCGCCGTAAGTCTCATCAGTGGTGGTAGGGTGATCCACAAATGCGTTGTTGCTGGATTCCATTGTGCTTGAAGGATAAGCCTGAGTAGGTTCTCAGTGACATCTTTCCTTACAGAGACGCCATTTATGGAATTGACAGTGAACTCAATCCTCAAATATCAAAAATAAACGAGGGTCTCCAAGGCGATCAGTTACAAAGCAAAGCTTCAACGTCGACCGCCGACGAGATTCGTTCCACTGCAGTTATCGCAAGGCAACTAATATTTATGATTCAACTACAGACAGCGCTGTTTTGATCCGCCATAGGTCTCATCGATGGTGTTAGGCTGAACTACTTTTAAAGGAAAAGCTTTGGTTAGTTAGGTCGACGACATCTTCCCTTGCGAAAACTCTATCTATGGGATAGCTCCCTAAAGGCGATCAGTTGCAAAGATAAGCTTCGACATCGACGGCCAACAGAAAAACAAGAAACCAATAACAACGTATTTGTGATTCAACACCATGCAGGGCTGTTTCGACCCAATGTAGGTCTCATCTGCTGTGCTAGATGACGTGTCCGTAAGGGGAGATGTCGAGGACCTATCTCATTAAAATATTTTCATAAGTACACCTTATGATTTGATCAAATCGTAAAGTCTAGTTTATGAAATTACTATGGATCTTCATCAAGTAACTGCCGAATCAATCATAATTGAGTAATGTTTGAAAATATTCATTTAAAGTGTGTTTCCTAATCATGTAGAGCACTTCATAGTAGTTGCAGATATTTTGATGCCATTAGCTATTTTTGTTTTTTCTTTGATTTTTTGTTATAGCTGAACAGAATCTCATATAACTATAGTTTAAGAATTACTCTAGTAGAGAAAGAAAAAGTGAAATAAATCATATTTCGCCTCAGAATACGGTTACGGCTACAACAGTATTTAACGAAAATCCATATTGAAAGTTATTAATACAGTTCATTGTAAAATTTACACTATAAAAGGTTTTGCTAAAACCGTGACACATGTTTCGCTATACGAGTTTATCTAGCAAAGTCTTCACTGCTGTTTCAAATTGAAAGTTTTAAGGTTTTCAGATATCATTTCTAGTGGTGAGTGATAGAACATTTACTACCATCACTAAATTCACAGTGGGGATGAGAGAAGTTAGAAGCTATAATAATTATAATCATTGACTTTTCAAATATGTTTTAAACCAATAAAAATTGCATGAAAGCTGACGCCCAGTTCTTTCACCGCCCCACGCACCGTTTGTGATGGGTCAGTCTCCACCAGGATCCTCAAATCCTTGTCGTGGGTTACTGTAAGTCGACCACTTAGGGGATCATCTCCAAGGCTAAAATCTCCGGAACGAAATCTCGCAAACCATCTTTAAACAATGCTTTCATTAACAATCCAATATATTGCTTTGCTGACGACAGCACACTTGTCTCATCATTCCATTTGGATTCCAGGACATCGTCTACAAAGGCACATCTTCACCGGCAGCAGGAGGTTGCATATTTTAATGAGGATCTAGAAGTGATTTCGAATTGGGGTGAAAGTAACCAGGTTCAATTCAATGCCACAAAAACCCAGGCATCGGTTTTCTCTAAGAAGATAAATGTCTCCGAACCGGATATAATAATTACTATCATTTCATTTCAGGTTTATTGTTGCTTAATATAATTGTTATTTTCAACTATTCTTTTTTTTAATTATTCTTTTTTACTTGTTTCAGGGATTTCAAATCATTTTTATATAATAGACAATGGAAGTCCGAACTAGTGAAATTCATCACGAAACATTGTCAATCACCTTCAAACAAACATGTAAAATAAGTTATTATTCAGGAGCATATTAAATTAAAAATGTTCTAAACGACAGATTGTTTTCCGTAAACATCTCTCATACAGTGCAGGTCTAAAAAGTCCCCTCCTTTTTCAATTTTTAAATAAAAAAGATTTCAATGTTAGACAAAGTTAACGTGAGATTATATCGCTTTCAGTACATTTTAATAAGAAAAACAAAGTACACGTCATTCTTCGCCGAAAGGACGCTGTCATTTTTTTTGAATATAAGTGGCGACTTTGAACAGGTATTTCAATTTTCTATCCAATAATGGTTTAGTAATAAAAATCGAATTAGCTGTTTGTAAGTATTAACAAGTTCATATTCTCTTTGAGAATCTGCAAACAAACAATGAATATTTTATATTTCAGTATACAAAATCATTCAAAATTCACCTTAGTTTATTCCAATAAGTGTTCATTATTTACTTTCCGACCATTATGAATGTTTACAAATAGGACCGTGTTAGGAATCACACGTTAAAAGGTAAGACCTCGTTAGTCCTTAGCTCGCACAAGTTCGTATAGGGGCGACAGTTGATTAACGGAAAAACAAATTTTAAACATTTATCACAATATGCAAGGTTTCTGGGGTAATTTGGTTACAAGCACCTCACATGAGGAATGGATTACAACTGTGTGATATATATTTCATTTATGCGAATATCCACAAAAAATCTGAGGGAATCATATCTAGCGGGCGTGGTTACAAGCACCTCGCATGAGGAATGGATTGCGACTGTGTGATGTATACTTTATTTATATGAATATCCCCAAAAATTCCGAGGGAATCATTTTTAGCGGACGTTTCTGAGAAAGTACGCCTGCTTATTCATCTGTTTGGGATAATTGCCATCAAACCACTTTCGAAGTAGCCTGTCACAATGAGTAGGTGCCCTATTTTGTTGAAACCGAGAGATAGACCGACAACGTCCCTTCGGATGACTCGCTAGATCACCTGATAAGACACCTCTGGATTTTTTCATAAGATACAAGTAATCTAAAGTGTATGCTACACAAACGCTGCCCATTCCAGAATTCAAGTTCAGAGAGGTGCTTGCAACAAAATTACCTCACAAACATTTCATGGTAAGAAATGAATTTGTGAACAGACTTCAGTATTGTTATTATTGCCAGGAAGTGAAAAGTGAACATTTTGAACATTTTCAGGAATGAACTGGAGTGAGTTTTGATTTTTTTAAAAATTTATATTTACCGCTTGTTTTGCAGAATAATATAAAACTGTCAATTATCCAAGAAATGCCGCCGATTTCTATAAAAAAAAGTTGAGGGAGTCCTTTTGACTACTAGTGATGCACACTATTTTTTGTCTCATTAGTCTGTAAAATGCGAAAGTACCGCCTATAGACAATTAGTGCTCCAGAGGTACACATCTAATGAAAGAGAGCAGAAGAAACTTGATTTGTATTGGAATTTTTTTTCTCCGAGAAGGGGGGACCGGCCGGCACTGAAGGTGATTTTCAGAAGCAAGGTGCGCAGTGTTGTTAAATGAATGAGGTAATCTTTGTGAGGCATCTCGTTTGTTGGGACGCTTTTCAATGGTTTCGCGGATTTTCCTGGCCTGGAGAGTTTTTTCAGTGGCAAAGGTTTTGGTGTTTTTGAAGCTTATTGTGGGGCCTATTTCACGGTTATGTTTGAAGAGGGATTTATGGACAGCAAGCTCATGTTCGTAGGCTCTGTTGGAGATTCTTCTGTTGGTCTGGCCGATCTAAGTTCACACATGCCCTGTGCCTCATTAGCTATTGTGTCCTTAGGTGTTCGTAGAAAAGTGGAAATTTTATTGTTGACTGTGAATACTGTTCTTGTATCGTACCCCTTCAGAATTCGGCTTACTTCGTCGGTAACTCCATGAATATAAGGAGAAAAATCTTTTTGGTGGTCCGTCTGTTCATCAAACTGTTTGGAATGTGGGGTACGAGTTTGCTGAAGTTGGATGGATTTTTGGATTTGGGATTTTGGAGAGTCGTTTTGGTGAAGGGCGTATTTGAGTTCAGTAAGACAAAGAGACTACTTGAAATCATCAAGGTGTCAACTTTTTGAAAAACGCAATAAGAACGAAACTCTACTTCAAAATACAATATCCTAATTCAGAATATAACGTTATTTTTCTTCATAGAATTCTGGCTGACTGAAGAAATTTTATTATTTATATACCTGACAGGCATGAAGAGTTTATTTTGTACTCAAAAGGAGTATTTGATGCTTGAAAGGAATATTTGTACTTGATAAAAATATTTGTTTCTTGAAAAGAATGTTGGCACTTGAAAACAGTATTTTTTTTTGAGAAAGTACTGGAAACCTGAAACATTTTTCAAACAGCATTAGAAGTACAAAAGTACAATTGCTTCGAGTATTTATACTAGCATTTCCCATGTACTTCCAAGTTCGGAAGTTCTGTAACAAATATTTTCTTTACTGTTTTATTTCAAACAAATAGTCATTTCCCAATTTCAATTTGTTACAGGAATGGATGTAGTCACTCGACAGGTTGGCCAACACATGGAATACGAGCCTGAATGGGAGTCAGGATTCAACCTTCATATAAAACTGGCCTACTGCATATCACTCGCAATAGAATGGTGTGGATCAGACAAAGTGGTACTCATTAAAGCATACCGCATGGTACTCAATAAACTGGAGAACAATCCCTGCTATGAACCAAATGAAGCTGGAGAAGTTCGCGAATTAGCTGACCACAGTACAGCGTGTCTACATTATGATGTATCAACCAAACCTGTTTCCATACACCTGCCACTCACCAGATTCCTGGCAGCCTTACACTTATGCCTGGAAAAGTATAACCTCCATTTCGACTCCGTGGAGTTTCAAATATCTAAACCGACCCCAGTTCAAATTATGGAACCTGTTCTAAGAGCACAAGTCATGATAGCCCAAGTGAATGCTGGTATGTGGAGAAGGAATGGCTATGCTCTCCTAAATACGTTATTCTTCTACCACAATGTCAAGTGCCGCACGGAGATGCTGGATAGGGACATTACGCTGTTGCAGATAGCCGCTTCTCTGATCGAAAGTAACGAGTTTCTTATTCATGTCTTGAACAAGTTTAACCTGATCAACTGGGCGATGCCCGACTATGAAATCAATAGCTTGAAATTGTCAGAAGAAGACAGCATCAGACAGACAATCAATTTGGTAGAGGAATTGATGCATCTGCTGATTGTCATCGTTGGGGAACGATATATGCCTGGCGTTAGTAATGTAACTGTGGAAGACAGGATCCGGAAAGAAGTAATCCAGCACTTGTGCATAAAGCCCCTCCCACACTCAGAGTTGATTAAAACTATCCCGGATGATTTGACATCCAGAGAAGTTGCTGTTGACGAAGTTATTCAGGAACTCGCCGAATTCAAAAAACCCGTACATGGAACAGGCAAAGGTGTTTATGAACTCAAGGAGCAATATTATGATGAATTCAATGTATTTTTCTATCACTACACCAGAGAGGAGCAGTCCAAGTCAGAGGAAACTCAAAGAAACAGGCACAAGGCCAAAGGAGAACTCGAGTGTTGCCCTCCTCCGAAATTGCCGAAATTGAATGAATCATTTGGTCTTCTAGTAAATTTGCTTCAGTGCGATGTGATGCTTCACATCATGCAGACTGTTCTTGAAAGGTAATTTCTATGATATTGATTAATAATCGACTGACCGAAGCTCAGGTATTTCTAGGCAAAATTCTGAATCAATCTGAGTAGGGTACTTTTTGACTTTTGGTATTTTTCTAAAATTGATTACGCTTATAAAGTAGAACAATACTGAACGAGTCAGTTCCACACATTGAATAAAAAAAAAACTTGCCATAAGTCATTCAAAAAAGGTTGATTCTATTTATTGTTGGCATTTATAAAAGAACTAGTTGAAAATAGTTATTTAAAGAGCTGGGTATTCTAACAGTAGCCTCGATTCACATTTACTCATTACTTAAAATATATAAGAAACACAAGTTCAATGAAATATTTCTAAAAACATTCGTACAAAAATAGATAAATTATATAATTATTACAGTTCAAATATTTGTTTGGCAACAGATTGCTTACACATACCAATAAAATAGTGGAATCGTATGATCAAAAATAATAAATGTTTAATGAATATGAACTATAATTATACTCATACAGTTGAAGTTTCTATAACTATTACAGTAGGTGAAAAAGAAAGGTATTCCAACTTCAAAACTGACGAAATTCAATACAATCTTGAAACCCCTATTTTCCCCCTTGGGGGTGGAAATTCCTGATTTCTTTTCTTGATGCTTATTTACGCTATACACAGATCCTACCTGCATATTTCAAGATTCTAGATTCAGTAGCTTCGACTGAACGTTAATATAAGAGTGTCAGTCAATCAATAGGTACCCACTTACACAATATTGAGTAAAATACATTGGTAATCCTACTCCTAATAATATTATAAATGCGTACAGTTGACCGACACTTTTATATTAAGGTACATTCGAAGCTACTGAACCTAAAATCATGAAATATGCAGGCACGTTGTTTGTACAGCGTAATTAAGGATTCAGAAAGGGAATCAGGAATTTCCACCCCCAAGAGGAAAAATAGGGGTTCAAAGATTGTAATTCGTCCGCTATCGCGGACTTTTATTTAGAACTATTTAAGATAAACAATCTTCCGGTACATTATCTGCATGAAACTCCAACGGTTAGGCAGTGCACGCCAAGATAGCTCTCAGGGAGCAAGAATTTTTCCAACTTACTTAATACTTATCGTTATATTATGACCAAAATTACACAAAATCTTTGTAAATTGTAGCCTATATGTTATTCTGATGTATAAGCTGTATTTATGTAAAGTTTCATCTAAANTATGAAGTTACATCTAAATCTGTTCAGTTTTTTAGGCGTGAAAGAGCTACAAACATACATACATGTATCCATCCCCACAAACTTTCACATTTATATTAGTATAGATAGATAGTATAGATTATAAAAATTAATCAAAACATTACCTCAATAAGTATTTTTTCAAATTAAACTTATTCAAGTTGAGGTCTTCAACGGAGTCTGGCAAATTATTAAACACCTGTTTGTGCTTTACTCCAGAGATGGAAATCAATGTAAATATGATTCTTGTGTCTTGTATCATAACCATATAGATTACGGTGCATAACAAAGAAAGATCTGGGCGAATATTAGGCATTGGTATATGTATTAAAAAAGGTAGTGTCACTATTCTGAGGTTCACAAAAGCTTCTCTTTATCCAAGACCATCCAAAATTCTTTCTGCTTTTCATTGCAAACCTAACTTAACTGCCGACTCTTCATAACTCCATGTCAGTAAGGCATATCCAATTACTAATTAAATAAATGAGTCTTTGACACCGTGTTGGATGAACGTATCAACAGGAATATAGAAGATGTTACTTTCTTGAAGTCAGTATGATATTGCCCCATCTTTTCATCGACATACAGTGTGTCTCACTTCTCATGGAAACACCCCCATATCTTCCGTAATAATCATTCGAGGTAGAATGATGAAACTCTCAGGTCTGATGAAAATGGTCAAAATGCACCTACCACCCGCCACTCGCGATGAAACAAACCATTTTTACAATAAAACATAATAGGGGGCAAAATAGGCTCAAAATTCCTTCAGATTCGTGAAAGGAGTAATATTATAATCATAATTTGCATTATGTGGTTGTGAAGTTCTATTTTAGATTTTAGTTTCTATGGATTACATTCAGGTTTTTATGACTTGTAAACCAATATAGACACAACAGACCTAAAGCATATTAGGTGAAATTGAAAAGGTCCAATACAAATATTTGAATACTTTTATAGTGAATGAAATGATTATAGAAAGAATAAAGTGAACTGTAGGATTGAAAATGGAAAAAAAAATGAAAGAGTTGGTGAGAATTGTTAGAATATGAAATCTAATGAAGACGTACTGGAAAATTTAATGACTTACAATTATCTATATACATTTGTTATTCTTGTTTCTTTTTGAAAAGAATGCGTATGTTTGTTATATGTATTATGATAGAACATTCCAAATATTTGTGTTACCAGAGTAGCAATATAATAAGGTCATGCTGTAATAGGAAAATGCACTCCACATTTCCACTGAAGATTTTTTCTTTGGTTTATAAAGGTTTGTTAAATCATTTTTATGAGGCCCTGACTTTTTTTAACTGTTTTTTAGCTACATCTTTTTCTTTAGATGTTAATTTGATTTTTTCGTCATACCAAGTCAGGCACCTGATTATTCGTAATATTATTCTCCAACACTGGTGCATAACAGTCTATAATTCTCTTATAGTTTTAAAGTTTTTGAGATTTCATTAATATCAGTAGAATCAATTGACCAGTCACATGATAGTAGGCTCAAACTGGTATTATGAAAAACATTTGTGTTCAGTTTTCCGTATATTATTCTGTATATTATTATTATTATGATTTGAGAGAAGATTGATTGTTATTACAGAGTGATCAGTAATATTAGGGCAGTCAATTATATCTTGATCAAATAATACATAATCAATAAGTGAAGCACTAATATTTGAATACCTATTATATTACTGTTACGTTTTTCCCCGTGGGTCGACCAATAATTGACTACACTGAATAATCAAAACTTCATTTCTTTTAAATACAACAAACACTTCAACTAAAAATTTAACTATTATTTGAATGTCTATCGCCTTACTAGTTCACTTCGCGTACCGCACTGCAGCTTCCACTTGACTCTCTCGATATCCTCATGGCTAGCCTTAAAATATCGTAATCGAATGCCGTAGACATTTCTTCTAAGTTCTGTCAAAGTATGTAGCATTATTCTCGCTGCTTCTTGAGTGGCGGGGAATTATCGTGAATTCGCGCGCTCTAAGCTACGTCACGTTTGGTTTATAGTTACCAGTGGCGGCCGGCGTTATTTTCTTTCAGGCATGATTTACAACACTTCCCCCTTCCTTGAGGTTGTTCGCCCCAAACAACATTCCAGTAGGGGACATCACGACCCATGTAAGGACTCAGCCCTATGTGGACAACTTTAGGCTTGCTTTTGGGTGACAATTGGATTCTGTTCACCAGATCGTTTATCTTTTTGGTTACCAAGTAAGGTTCTTGCCATGGTCTCTGCAATTTGGGACACAAACGTTTCCTACGTTGGGGTTGGTACAGCCACGCTGCATCGCCCTCCTTGAAGCTCACTGTCAGTGACTTTTTGTCAAATCTTATCTTCCTCCTGTCGCTGGAAAGCCGTAATTTGGCCCTGGCAAATTCGTGTACAATTTCCAGTCCCTCCTTCAAGTCATCCACATACTCTGAAATAGGTACCTTTTGAGATTCATTTGAAAGGACTGCCACACAATACATCTATCGGAAGCTTCAGTTCCCTACCAGTTAACAACATGGATGGTGAGTAACCTGTGGCGTCAAGTTTGGAGCTCCTGTATTCCAACAGAAAAAAAGAACCATTTGACAGTTCACAAAATTGCTAACACATGTTATGTAATGACTAATAATTTTATGTAGGCCGTTACCATTTGG